ACTGTCATAGATCGGAAGATTTGAAGAATAATAAGATATGTACAGTATTTTTTTCAATTTTCCAATAACTACTAAATTTTTATCAAGAAATTTTTTTAAATTACAACTCTACTTATATCTTTTACTTATAAGGATAGAATTTAGTAGAATAAAAAAATTGAAGCATTGTTTGAAGCTTTAAAAATAATATTTATTGTTGTACCAATTTTATATTATGTAAACTTTTCTAATATATTTTTTATGAAAATAGATGCAATAGACTTTGCTTTGAGTGTGGTATTATTACAAATGAGAAGAGATGACAAACTTCTTTCAATAGCTTTTTATTTCAACAAAATTTCAATAGCAAAAATCAACTAAAATATTTATAACAAATAATTTTTTATAATTATAGATTCATTTCAAAAATAATGTCATTATTTAGAAAGTACATGGATTCCACTCACTATGTATACAAATCATAAGAATCTTGAGTATTTCATATCAATATAAGTTTTGAATCATTACTAAGATTGATTGAACATGTCTTTATTGAGATTTGATTTCAAGAATACTTATTCACCAAAAAAATTATAAGTTTTGTTAAATCTTTTTTTTAGATATTTTTATTATATATTAAAAAAAGATGCAAATTTTTATAAATAAAAAATAATCTTCTTGAAGCTAGAGTAATTTCATCTTCAAGCAATGAAATCAATCTTGAATGTTGATTCAATCTTTTACAAGCAAGTTCAATTGAATATGTCCTTTTATTCTCTTATTCATCATATTAAAAATAATTCTTTTTAAATTCCATGATACTTCTAAGTTTAAATTCAAGAATAAATTACTTTATTTTAGAAGTCATTTATATATTCTAAAAAATAAAGTATGATTATGTATTCTTTAATTTTGTCACAACTTTTCAATTCCATGACATTTTAGATGCAATAAGACTTTGGAGCTAATATCTAAAGATATTTGGTAGCCTCAAATATAGAAGGTAGTTAAAGACTTTGTATAATTGTGTGATTTTTGATCAAGATCAAAAATTCCTTATCATTGACCTTATAAACTTTTTTAGCCATTATCAATATCCAAACAACAATAGTATTTTTTTTCTATAGATTTTATCATTATATTTTTAATATTCAATTTATATAATTCTATATTCTTGATTACAAACTATTTTACTAACATAGTACATTTTATACCATATATAAAAACTATTATATGTGAAAAAATAGCAAATAAATTCTTAGATAACATCTATTGCTATCAAGGATTGTAAAAAAATATTATATCAAATACATGGAAATAATTATCTCAAGACTATACATATTTATTTTGATTAGGATTTGATTTAGAATTTAAGATTTTATTAAGGATTGATTTAGAATATAGGATTTGATTAGGATTTGATTTAGAATTTAAGATTTTATTAAGAATTGATTTAAAATATAGGATTTGATTAGGATTTGATTTAGAATTAAGAATTTGTCAAGGATTTGATTGAAGTCTATGAGGATTTTAACTAAGATTAAATTAGAACGTGGTTGAGATTAATTTAAAATATATTTTAATATTTTAATATTTTTTAGAGCTTCTTAAGGATTATTTTTGAATTTTATTAAATCTTATTTAGTATTGTAAAGGTTTAATTAGAATTTATTTAGTATTCTATTAGAACAAAGATTTTGTTACTGCAATTTTCATTCTATCTTCCGCAGCCGAGTGCCTAATGCACTCTCAAGCAACACTTCACATATTACAACAATGTCTTAAAAGGTGCATTCAACTTCTTTTCAGATTCAACACCAATATCATAGTAGTGCCAAAAATAATCAACAAATCAAGTTCTAAATTTGAATTCCAAAGAATTTCCACTTGTGCATGAAAGGCAATTTTGCTTTGCAGACTTACTATAGAGCTTAAACTCAACTTGGATTGATAGTCCTCAAATATGATAATCAATGTGCTATCAAGATTATTTACAATCTAATATTTTATGATTGCACTAAGCACTTTAGAATAGATTTTTACTTTAGAAGATCAAAAGTAGAAGAAGGCATCATATAAATGGAGTATATCTCTAGTAATATGCAACTGGTAGATATGCTGACTAAAGCAATTAAGAGACCAAAATTCAAAATAAAAAGAAAAGACTCGACTTCCTATCATTAAAAGAGACTAAAACTCATTTTATTAAAATCACTACAATATTAAAATCACATTACAAGTTGAGGCAACAATCTATTTTTTAGATCAATTAATCAATCAATTATTAAAGTAAGGAGGAGCCTTTCCACTTTGGAGTTCACAACAAAGAACAATGATAGAAGAAGAGTGTAGAGTAGTACTAAGATCTCCATTTATGATGTTATTCTAGTCAAATTAAACTTTTATATGGATGATTATCAATGGAATTGATCAAAGGCATCCAACCTTAAAATAAATAATACATTAAAATCTTATAATATTCATTGAAATTAGTGGCATTGCAAGTAGGAGGGAATATTGATCAAGTAACTTATGATAGTAGATAATGTAGAAATTTCTATCAGTTGATTTTGCAATTGGTAGATAGATTTATATTCAAATGGCTTATAAGGCACAAAATAAATTGTAGTCAATATTTTAAGTTCATAGATTAGTCCAAATATAAATATTTACTATCTTATTTATTTTTCTAAGCATATTATAAATCATCATACATTATTTTAGATGGTGCCATGAATAAAACATGACTAGACCATCTCTAAAACCCAAGATCCTTCTTTTCCATAGCAATATAAAACCTCATCACAAAAATAAGATAAAACAAACCAAAATAGAATTGAATGGAACTAAATAGAATAAGACATGAAAGACAAACTGAGGAAATAGAAACACAACAAAATAGAACTAAATAAAAAGATGCAAAACCAAATTTTACTATAAAAAAAAAAGGATGCAAAGCCATATCTGACCAAATGCCCGAAAAGGCCCTGGCTAATCCTATTTACACCTTGTCCTACTACCTTGGGCTTCCTAGAATGTTCCTAAGTGGTAGATCCTACCTAAATAACCGCCTTAAGCCTTTTCTAGAGGGTTGTATGATAGGACCCACCTAAATAACTACCCTTAATTTCTTTTCTAGAAGGTTCTATAGTGGATTCCACCTAAATAACCGCCCTTAGCCTTTTCTAGAAGGTTGTATAGTAGGATTCACCTAAATAACCATCCTTAATCCTTTCTAGAATGTTCTATGATGGATCCTATTTGGTCTACTAACTTTATCCCAATTCTAGAAACTTCCATGGTTCTAATTATCTATGTAATTATCTTACCAATACTGTTTTACAATTGAGCTTGCAAAATTTGGAATTTAATCACCTCATTACAATATAAATTATCCTTGTGTCCATGTAATTGGAGGCCAAAGAAAGCTTTTACATGGCAATAAGATATATTTACACACAATATCTCTCTCAAATTAATATATTTCTATAAAATTTGTGTACCACTCAAAGACTTTAGCTTATGGAAAATTTGAGTCTATATAAAAAAAATCAAATCTATGAACAAGAAGTATGGAATGACCTCCACATTAGCAACACAATTTGATAAGCAACACATTAGCAACACATTTGATAAGGCTTAATAGACTACAAGCAAATTAGTAAGCAAGCCATAAAGAACAATATTGAAAACATCCTTAACAAAAACAAACACACTTCAGAAAAATAGAATAAGTTAAAGATAACATGGAATTAGATAAAGAAAAGGTTAAATAATCAAATGTGAATCCAGAGTACCACAATAAGGTCTAAATACACCTGAAATTGTTGTAGTTAAGAAGAGAGCTTAATAGTATTCAACACTCTATACTTCTAAACCCACCTATGTAGATAAAAAGAAATTCTACATGTTTTCTGTATCTTAATCTATATCTATCAATGCATCAGATACAAAATTCCAATGTATGTAAAATATAAAAAGGTATAGTAAAATATGCTTATTTCCAAGACACCATAATCAGAGGTGTATTAGTGATTCAGTGTGCCAAGCTAAACCCAGAAAGTCAGCTTATACCATCCTGGGGCTCCACATGGTGCTGTTTAAAAGCTGAAATGAAAAAATCATGCATGTTCAATGTTACCAAATCAAGTGCACCATATCCACCTCACTAAAATCCAACAATTAGCCAAGAAGCATTGAACCACTCCAACAACACACTTGCAATGCATCAAAAGTTTGCATTCCAGAAAAATACCATGTCTACATTACCATTACTGATGGTATAACTGCTTGTAGCCAACTCTTTGGAGGAATTTACTAATTTATGCCTACTTCACTCATTTACGTTAAAATAGTAACATTATTAACATGCAATTGTTATAATTTATTTATTTTTTGCAAAAATCACTACTTCACTTCTCTTTAAAATCACAAGTCATCAGATACATCCTCCTTATGTGTTTTTATTTATTTATTTATTTATTTATTTATATGCAGTTGCCTTGAATAATTTGAGTTTGTACAAAACTTTATGGAAATTTAACAGTATGAGCCTAATTAAAATGAAGTTATCCATCAATGCATCCTTCCCCTTTACTTTGTTTTTGAAGTGAACTGAGATGACATAAACCACACATATCAATGAACTGCAGCAAAATAAAATTAACAAATGATTTCATATGCATGTTTACAAATATTAAATTTAATCTGCCAATATTGACTCATGATCGAGCTCGTCTAATAAAGCAATGACTAAACGTGAACTGAAACAAAAGAGAAAGAAAAAAGTAGAAAAATAAGAAACATTTACACACAACAAACAGGAAAGGGGATGATGGTGGACAGATGGATGGATGAATGAGGGGCACCCTGTGGATGGATGAGGGAGGGGAGGGGAGACGTCGACATCCACATCCACATCCGCCTCCGCGGCGCGGAAAGCGGGAGGGGGCCCTAGATGAGAAAAGTATGTTGGCCTGCGCCTTTCGCTTTTTGAGAGGAATCAGATGGTTGCTCAAAACCATTTTTTAGGGTTTGGAGATCTGTCTTCCCTGGCTCTAGGTTTGATCCTCCTCCTTCCTGCTGCTGCTCTCGGCACTGGAGCCTAGTTAGTTAGTTAGTTCTCAAGCTTAGGCCCAATTGGCCTCCCTGCACCGACTCCCTTCCTTCCTTTCCCTTGCGCGTCACGGATCTGGCTGCAGTGCCTGGCGCCGGGTTCCCTATTTCCCGTTCTTTCCTTTTGTGTTTTCCGCATGTTATGATTGTGTGAGGCAGGTGCGCTTTGCGCTCTCTTTTCAGCTTGGTCTGATTTGCATACGAGGTCGGCCATGTCGCGTGCTGGGAAATCGGGCTCTCGGGCCATCGACAAGGAGCTGGAGGACGATTCCCGCGTCAACGGAGCAGCTCAGAACAGGTTCGTTTCCAGGATTGCCTGAATCTGGAGGGTTCCTAATTGTTTTTTCTGCGAGAGAAATTGGTTGGAGGTGGGATCCCCGCATTATTCATCTGGGTTTGCTCAACGAGACGGGGTTCCTCACCACGCGATGTTTTCGTTGTTCGATGTGACAGCCGGCAATGGGTTTGCGGAGGTGCCTGGTTATACGCCGATACGCACCCATTGCACGGTCGAATGGCACTACATGTGGATTCCAGGGCGTAGAGGGTCTCGTGAAGCAAATTGGTGGTGCCTTGTCTGTGGACCTGTGCTCGTTCTCGGATTTTGGTGTGTCCTAATAGTCGTCCGGACAGCACAAAAGTAGCACGACAAGCTCTTTGAGTCTGCGGTTGCTAGTTTCAATATATGGATTCTTCGACGAGTCTCGCAAATAGCGTCGACATCGTGGAGCCTGACGTGGACGAGTAGCTTTTGCATGAAACTGATGTTGATTTGCCTTCAATTGGCGATCATTTTGCTCAATTCTAGTTCGCTTTAGGGTTCAGAATGCGGCTTTCTTTGGGTGGTTCGTGCCAGTGGCTCGACCATAAGCAGGGAGTTGGGTTGGGAATGGCCTTTCTGCCACTTCAAGGCATAATCTGAAAATCGCCTTTGTTTGACTCGTGTATATATATCACAGAAAGCAGCAGAAGAAGAAGGGGAAGAAGGGTGGTCGATTCGATGAGGATGACGACTTCGATGCAATAGATGGCGCAGCACCTTCTGTGGGAAGTGCTGAAGCTGACGAAGCCATGGATCCATCGGCTGCTAAGAAGAAGAACAAGAAGAAAGGCGGAACAAAGAAAGGGGGATTTAGTGTGTTGGATGAGGAAGTGTCTGATAGTGAAGCTGCTTCGGTGAACCCAGCGGAAGTAGAAAAAGATGAAGCGGGTGAAGAGGATTCTGTAATGTTTGCGGGCAGGAAGAAAGGGAAGAAGGGGAAGAAAGACAAGAAAGCCTCTATGGATGATGATTATCCCATTCTCGATCCCGAAGCCGAAGCTGTAGTTGAAGAAGCCATGGATATTCCTGCCGCCAAGACGAAGAACAAGAAGAAGGGGGGAGCAATGAAAGGGGGGTTTAGTTTATTAGACGAGGACATGTCCGACGACGAAGTTGCTTCAGCGAGCCCAGTCGTTCCTGCTGTGGACGAAGCCGAGGAAGAGGAGACTATCACGTTTGCTGGCAAGAAGAAAGGGAAGAAAGGGAAGAAGGACAAGAAGGCCTCTATGGATGATGATTATCCCATTCTCGATCTGGAAGCAGAAGCCAAAGCTGAAGAAGTTGAAGAAGCTGCCGATCTGTCGTCTGCTAAGAGGAATAAGAAGAAGGGAGGAGCGAAGAAAGGGGGGTTTAGTATGTTGGATGAAGATGCTTCCGATGGTGAAGTGGCTTCAGTGAGCCCAGTCGTTCCTGATGTGGACGAAGCCGAGGAAGAGGAGACTATCACGTTTGCTGGCAAGAAGAAAGGGAAGAAAGGGAAGAAGGACAAGAAGGCCTCCATGGATGATGATTATCCTGTTCTAGATCCTGGAGCGGAAGATGAAGTGGAAGTCCAAGCCGCTATTGATTCGTCTGCTGCTAAGAAGAGCAGCAAGAAGGGAGGAGCAAAGAAAGCGGCTTTTAATATGCTGGACGACATGTCCGATGGTGAAAATGCCTCGGGCAGCCCGGTCGTATCCGCTGTTGATGAAGCAGAGAAGGACGAAGGCGGGGAAGAGGAGACCCTCATGTTTGCTGGCAAGAAGAAAGGGAAGAAAGGGAAGAAGGACAAGAAGGCCTCGAAAGATGACGAGGACATCGATGGTCTAATTGAAGAGCTGGGAGGACACACGATAACCGAAGGTAATTGCTTGCTCATGGGACCGAGTCATATTGCGATCACTATTGTCTTGCTGTGCGTGAGTTCCGGCCAGCTATCCCGATTCTAGGAGATTAGTAGAACGAATCGGATGTTGGATTAGTCCTTAAGTTCCACGCTTCCGTTTTGGCTCATGGTGCCTTAAGCTTCTGTGAATTCAATGCACGTGTCTGGATTGGATCACCGGTTAATAGATGGTGCTCACGGCCGAGCAATTCGTCTACTGACATCATGAGTTCGCGATATACATCCTTGACCTGCAAAGTCTGGGATGCTGTTGATTTTAATTTAATTTAACTTTTTGATGGTCCTTCTTTCGATGCAGCTGCAGCACCAGTACCAGCACCAGCCACGGTTCCTGCAGAACCCAAGGGCAAACAGAAGAAGAAGGGGAAAAAGAGCGGACGAACCGTTCAAGAAGAAGAAGATCTTGATGCTATTCTTGCGGAATTGGAAGGCCCAAGCAAACCTGCACCCCCTGCTGTGTCTGTCCCGGAGGCTGCTGCGCCTGCTCCTCCTGAATCATCTGCGCCACTTGCAGAGGACGAACCGACAGCTGCTGGAGGTGCTCCTCCTGAAGCGGAAGAGGTGGTAGAATCGGCAGCTGCGAAAAAGAAGAAGAAAAAGAAAGAGAAGGAAAAGGCTGCAAAGGGTGGAGCAGGTAGTTTGAGGACCTACAGGCTTTACTTTTTGTTTTTGAACTTTCGTGTGCGTGGTTTGTTTGTTTGTTCTCTTTTTTAATGTGTTCATTCCACTTTCAAGATTGGTTCCATGCGTGGTCCAAGGACGGGGACATCAGTTGGTTATTGGTGTTAACCATTTTGCACTACAGTTGATAAACCTGCAGAGGAAGTAGCAGTTGAGGAGAAGAAAGCTACAGCAAAAGCAGATGAAGCTAAGAGCAAGGCTGCTGACAAGAAGGTACCAAAACATGTGCGAGAGATGCAAGAGCGGCTGGCCCGGATGAAAGAGGCTGAAGAGAAGAGGCTTCAAGGTATGAATGGTTGCTGGCAGATGCATATGTGACTTGGAGGCGGTTTCGGATCCCAGTGTTTTTAATGTGGCTGTAAGCCTGGGCTTGAAGATAGCATGTGCATTTGCAGACCGTTCCGTAAGACGACATGCGAAGATTTCAGAGTTGAATATTGAGGTGTAATGGTGAAGTCCAAGTGCAGTTTTTTTTTGTAGATTCTGAAAGGTGAGGATTGTTGTAATTTTGACATCTCTCAGAGGAAGAAGAAAAGCGTCGGAAGGAGGAGGAAGAGCAGCGGAGGCTGGAGGAGTTGGAGAGGCAGAAGGAAGAAGCGAAGCGAAGGCGTAAAGAGCGCGAGAAAGAAAAGCTGCTCCAGAAGAAGAAAGACGGCAAATTGTTGACTGGGAAGAAAAAGGAGGAGGCTCGACGATTGGCTATCATGCGTGAGCAGTTTGGGATTGTAGCAGATCAGGACAGCCCCACAGGGGAAGAGGCACCTGCTCCTAGGAAACCCAAGTATGAAACAAAGAAAAAGCGCAAGCCAGCTGGTCAAACCAGTGCTGTTCCGGCAGAGGGTGAGATGGCAGAGCCAGCAGTGCAGGAACCAGAACCGGAGGTGGAGCCGGAGCCGGAGCCGGAGCCAGAGCCTGAGCCTGAGCCGGAGCCAGTTCCGGAACCTGAACCAGCAGCTCCAATGGAGGTGGGGTGGTCTGGTGTAATTTATTGTCAATAAGTGGAGGTTCTACTCGTTTACGTGGTGCATTGACTTGCTTGTAAATTCCTCTTTTGTCTTTTGTAGAGGGATTCAGGGAGATAGGTTTGCTTATGAAGAGCGAGGGTTTTTGTATACTCAACTTATTTCTGGCGTAGCTGTGTGATGTGCTGCTGACGTTGGATATCTGTAGTGCGAAGATGAGGTGGAAGTGGGTGTTTTTTGGCTCCTGGCCTCAGTCATCATACGTGCTTTTGGCTGGCATTGACTAGGGTTTTGACACTTGTTCAGGTGGAAGAGGACGAAGAAGAGGAATGGGATGCCAAGAGCTGGACTGAGGAGGTTAATCTTCCTGCAATAAAGAGTGCATTTGCTGAAGAAGAAGCTGACGACGGGCCAGTAAAAGCTGGACAGGTTACAGTCCCTCCTCCAAGTGCCCCTGCAGCTGCTACCAAGCCCTCTTCTCCAAAGAAGAAACCTGCACCTCCTTCGAAGTCACAGGCGAAGGTTGTTGATAGTGAGGAGGACGAGGAGGAGGATGATGACGATGAAGACAGTGAGGACGATGTGGACGTGAAGAAACGCCAGCAGGCGAAGGTGAGAAGAGAGGCGCGAAGGGTAGAAGCTCTGAAGAAGAGAAGCGCAGAGGATCTAAGGTCACCAATATGCTGTATCTTGGGCCACGTTGATACAGGTTCGGAATGGGCGACCTGATTAGTCTCAACAGGCACATCCTTTTTTGGTTTATTATTATTTTTACAACGAACGAGCAGTACGCTGCATAATGTTATGTTCGCGTGCTTCTCCCGGTGTTTTGGTTTCTATGAGTATTGGCTTCCAAGTTTTCAAAGTTGACAGGCTTCCGAATTACATGCCCAAGTGTAGTTTCTTATTTGCTGTTGTAGTGTAGGATGTGCATTTATCATGACCAGGCGCACGATGAAATGATGGAGTTTTGTTGTGATTTCGTGCAGGCAAGACGAAGCTGCTGGATTGTATTCGACGAACAAACGTGCAAGAGGGAGAAGCTGGTGGTATTACACAACAGATAGGAGCTACATATTTCCCGATGGAGAACATTAGGGAGAGAACAAAAGAGCTCAAATCGGATGCTAAACTGAGGGTTCCTGGTCTTCTTGTTATAGATACACCAGGCCACGAGTCTTTTACCAATCTAAGGGCCCGGGGTTCCAGTCTCTGTGATATAGCCATTCTGGTCATTGATATCATGCACGGGTTGGAGCCACAAACCATTGAGTCGCTCAATCTTCTCAAATCACGACATACCCCTTTCGTGGTCGCCTTGAACAAGGTAAGATTTGGTGTTGTGTAATATTGTTTGAGTAGTCACCCACCTTTCTCCATGTCATTGGGTGTCCACTATTGTTAGTTCGTCGTACAAGATCCTATATGGGGTCAGGGATCAAGTTCTGCCGTTCACTTTGCTACCGATGTTGCTTTTTTGGTAATCTGGTCAGGTGGTTGGAGAACAACGAATTAATTTGGTGGTTGTTGTCGCGAACAGGTGGACAGATTATATGGGTGGAAGAGTTGCCCCAATGCACCTATTAGGAATGCGTTGAAGTTGCAATCCAAGGATGTGATTGGAGAATTCGAACAACGTGTGGCATTTGTAAGTTAAATATATAGCAGTGACAGTTACTTCACTAGGTTTTGGTTTTGATTTTGGTTTTGTTCGATGAGTGAGGCTCGTCTGGTCGATTGGAGAGCTAGAAGTGAGTATCGAATGTATCAGAAGTTCGTGAGGTTGATTGTAGTCCTCGTATTCCAGCGTTTTAGGATGCCTGATCGCTAGGAGTGACGATTATGTGATATTGATGCGTTGATACGCTTGGGAAGGAAGAGTGATTGTATCGAGGCTCCTTCTAGTGGCCCCTGGTGGTGGCTTCTGTTTGGACCAAAGATTCGAAGGGCAACACAATTTCTGCTGTCGTGAAGGAATGTCACCGACTTTTGAATGCATGTCTGTTTAGGTCATCACGCAACTGAAGGAGCAGGGATTGAATTCTGAGCTGTACTACAAGAATAAAGAACTCCGGAAATTCATCAGCATCATCCCTACCTCTGCAATAAGGTGGATCTTTTGTAACCATGGGCTACGAATTCATTGTTTAAAATGTTGTGCAGTTCCTGCCTGGTGTGCATTGTTGTTGTAGTTTTTGAATTTCTGGACATGTTAAAGTAATCGACAACCAGCTTTCTCAAGTTCCGAGGCTCGTCTTAAATTTAACTTTGTTGTGTGGCAGTGGGGAGGGTGTCCCAGATATTTTGATGCTGTTAGTCCAGCTGACGCAGAAGTTGATGGAGGAGAAGTTGATGTACATCAGCGAAGTACAGGTGAGTGAAGTTCTAAAGTATATGTACGAGTTGTAGGTGCAAGAACACGAATACTTCCTACCGCTGCAGATATTGTTTTCCAGACGTGGCTGTTGGTGGGCCAGGAACTAAGTTCAATCGGCATGGTTTCTATCGCTTTGTTGCAAGTATTCATTTTCAATTATGTACTTTCTCTGGGGTATCTCATTTCTTGAAAATCATTGTCGTTAATGATTTCCGATGGTCACATGTGTCTGGGCACATGTTTGCTGCAATACGCTTGACAGCGTGGCCAGAGGTAGCCATGTGATACGGTTACTACATGTCACTCAGACGTGTAGCCAGTTTCCTGGCTGCGTATTTCTTATTAATCCGGGTGGTTGATGTCGTATGCAGGCAACAGTTTTGGAGGTGAAGGTGGTTGAGGGATTGGGGACAACTATCGATGTGGTGTTGGTGAATGGTGTACTGCATGAAGGCGATCAAATAGTTGTCTGCGGCATGCAGGTTCGTTTACCTATCGCCGTTTTTAAATGCCTGGTTTTACTGGAGATGGGTTTTTATTTTTGTTTATTCATTTATTTATTCATTTTTGCATGCTTTGTAAACATCTGAGTCGTGTCTCGACTCAAAATCGTGCGTATTCAGCAATCTTTTTCTTGTGAGTCATTTGTGTGGGGTGGCTCATGAAGATTTGTGGTTTTTGTTACGGTATAGTTGATGCGACCTAAGCAGCCTCTGATGTGGTTTGGTTTGCTGTCTGGTGTGTTCAGGGCCCTATTGTAACAAATATCCGAGCGCTGTTGACTCCACATCCCATGAAAGAGCTTCGTGTGAAGGTTAGAATTTGTCTCTCCTTTTTAGTGGCTCTTTTATGAAGGTTAGACGCGATTGCTAGTTGTAACGGGCTTCAAATGGGATACGATGTTTGTATTCAGCGGTGTCTCGTTAGCTCTAGCTATCAGGATGAGTTGGTGGGTGGGGTTTGCGGGTGTTTGGATATGGTCGATTTATAAATCGATATGTTAGGATGTGATAACTCAGGCAGGCATTGAATAGTCTATATTCTTTGGTTTACATACGATGCGTTTGTCAGCGTATTTGCTTACTTGATGCGTGGCGCAGGGAACATACCAACATCACAAAGAGTTGAAGGCAGCCCAGGGTATCAAGATTACAGCACAGGTAAGCATGGTTTTTAGTGTGTACAGTGGTGGCACGTGAGTGAGTTGGGGCAGGTTGTTTCCTCCAGAGAGAAACCAGTGTACTTTAGGATCACAGCGGTTGTACCTTGTACATATCCTGAAGCAGTATTCATGTGAATGCCGCTGGACGCAGACCACATCGCAACTTCTGTTTTATGAAGCCTAAGTTTGGACGTAGCGAGTGGTTTATTTGAGTTACAGTTTGTTCCGCTCACATGGGATATCTTTATTTCAGGGGTTGGAGCATGCGATTGCTGGTACCCAACTGTATGTTGTGGGTCCTGAGGATGATGTTGAGGATATGAAGGATGAAGCAATGCAAGATATGAGGAATGTGATGAGCAGGATTGACAAAAGTGGTGAGGGTGTATGCGTGCAAGCCTCTACACTTGGATCATTGGAGGCCCTACTGGAGTTCTTGAAGAGCCCGGCTGTCAAGATTCCCGTCAGTGGCATCAGTATTGGTCCGGTGCACAAAAAAGATGTTATGCGTGCTAGCGTCATGTTGGAAAGAAAGCGCAAGGAATTTGCGACAATTTTGGCTTTTGATGTGAAGGTATGGCTCAGCTTGTGTAGTTACGGTGGTTTCAGTTATTGGTAGGGCTGTTTCGAAGGCTCGTCATAAAGCTATGGTTTGGCTGCAACGTGAAGCCTGCGTAACATCAATCTTGCCTGGACACGTAACTGACTTGTTGTGATATCGCATGTGAGCGTATCATTCATACCCACGTTTTGTATGGTCTTCAATCTTGTCCCAGCCGCCATAATTTCGACTGAGTTCCCGTATTGCGACGCGATGTTGCAGGTAACTGCGGAGGCCAAAGAGTTGGCAGAAGAGGTGGGCGTCCGGATTTTTACGGCTGATATTATATACCATCTTTTTGACCAGTTCACAGCATACATGAATTCTGTGAAGGAAGAGAAGCGAAAGGAAGCGTCGGAGGAAGCTGTGTTTCCTTGTGTGATGAAAATCTTGCCTCAGTGCGTCTTCAATAAGAAAGATCCAATTGTGGTTGGAGTTGATATACTGGAGGGTGTTGCCAAGGTAAGTGCGGACGCGTAGACCATGCGCCAAACCCCCTTTTGGCAGGATTGATTTTCCAAGGCTGCAGATTATAGGATTCTGCGTCCTTGATCGCCTTTGTCGCGGTGTGTGCGCCTTCTCATTGTATGGACACATTGTGTGCAGGTCGGAACTCCCCTTTGTATTCCTTCAAGGGATGGCATTGACATTGGCAAGATTGCCTCCATGGAAATCAATCACAAGGTTGTGGATACTGCGAAGAAGGGCCAGACGGTTGCAATGAAGGTAAGTGGGGCAACTGTAAAAAAAGCTCATGCGGATTGTTTTCAGGCTCTGTAGATAGGAGTGGAAATTGCGTTCCTGTATTCTTTCTTCCTTTCTTGCTTTTCTCCTTGTTTGTGTGTGGTGCCTCAAGTAAATGAGTTGCTTGCGAGCTTGTTATAATAACTATGAAAACAGCGGCCGAGGGAAAGTGTGCATGATTGGATGGGTAGTGCATCAAGTTGAGTCTGAGTTCGTTGAGTGGCTGTACAGATTGTTGGCACCAATGCCGAGGAGAATGCAAGGATGTTTGGTCGTCATTTCGACTTGGAAGACGAGCTTGTTAGTCGCATAACCCGGCGATCAATTGATCTTCTCAAGGAGAATTATCGGGTTAGTATAGACCCCAACCTGATCGTTGAGAATAAAGGCTTGTGGCATGTACAGCATTAACGAGTGTAGGATTGGTTATTCTTGCCCAGCTCTTGTTCGGGGAATCAGCTGCGGAAAATAGCAACCGAATGGGGGCTATATTTGGCACGCACGCTCTTGCACATTGGAGCGTTCGGCATCATCTATACTCGTTTTGCACTGGTGGCCTTTTTAGTGGTTACGAGGAGAGCATATGTTGTGTAAATATGAGCTGCGGATTCGAGTCAGAGTTCTGAAGAGTTTTTTTGGAATGTGTGCAGGATGATCTTACTACGGAGGAGTGGAGACTGGTGGTGAAATTGAAAAAATTGTTCGAGATCCCGTAGAAGCACTTAAATCCGTGAAGTTAGTGGGTTGTATGGAGAAGTCGAGTTCCATGTTCTAGAGGTAGGAAATGAGAGTCGCCCTCTAAGAATTACTTTTGTGGTTCAAGAGCGCAGCATCCGCACCGCAAGGTGCTTTCCTCTAGTATGTACAATGCAGAGGTATTGCACTCACAAAGTCCCTGTGAAGGAACTTTGTGGCATAGATAGGAATTTGAGGTCGAGAAATGAGGATTATAGGCTTTTTGTGAGCTGTGTTTGCGGAATAATCTTGCCGCCAAGATACTTGATAAATATCAAAAGCTGTTCTGAAGAGGATCTGCTCATCTTGAATGAACGCCCGACTGTTTTTATATGTGAATGGTTCCTTCACGGGGACGTTGTTGATGTTGTTGGGATTTTGTATCGGCTTGCGGAGTGTTGGGAAGTTGCCTGTTATACTCAGTCTAGCCGCTACTGGCCGTTGTTGACTCTTCAGGCTGTGGCTTGTCGTTGCAGTCCTCTCCTCTGTCAGTGACACCTTATTCATTCTATTTTTTGGTTCTGGTAGCTATCTAGATGTAGATTAGGTTAAACTTAGTTCCTAGCATTGTTACAGGATTAGTTAGTCTCTATTTTTGGACGTCCATTGGATAATCTTCTTTAGATGTAGGATCTCCACTAGTTTGTTGTACTAGTTCCTTTCAAGCTTTGGTTCGTTGCCCTTGTTTATGTCACAATTAGTCTGGATCTATTCCTGTTGAATAAATCATCATGGGATGAGAGTGAGGTTTTCTGCTTGTTTTGTTCCCTTCTAAGTGAGCTTTAGTCTTCTTGTCTAGGGATTAGAGCCTAGAAACCAATTGCATTGTTTATTATTCTTCAATTGACTAATTTTGCATGTCTTGGAATGGGATCTCATGATTAGCTGTTCATTGTTTAGTATTAAATTAGTTGCTATTGATCAAGCTCACAACTTTTGCAAGTATTGAATTCAATTGATGATTAAATCTTGATTTATTATTATTTATTATTATTATTATTATTATGTTATATATTTTTTAATATTTTTTCTAACAATTCTAATCATGGAACTTGCTAAGTTGTTTACTAATCCCAACAAGTTTAATGGAGCAAGTAATTACTTCACTTGGAGAATTTGTGTGAATACCTTACATATTTGAACTGAGGTCTAGAATGAACTTAGTTTTGAAGCACCATTGGTTGCTGCCACTACTATTGTTGTTGTTGATTATGGGATTAATGATCCTCTTATTGAAGAAGAAGAACCTCTTGCATAGTTACATGTTTGAGAAAGAAAAAGGTCAAAGCTTTCTCCATCCTTACAACCATAGTACATGACAAGTTCTTGACCATTGTTGAAGACTTTCACACTAATCTGATTGGATGTTGGATTCATTCCAAACAATTCATGGTGATGACTTGCTTAGCAATAGTTGTTGCTTGAACAACTCCAAAACATTGGAATGATTGAAAGAACTTCCATGGAGGATTAGCTTAAACAAATTGAGGATCTTTTTGGCAAGCTTGCCAATATCAATGTTAAAATAGATCCAATGAAAATTATGCATATAGTTTTGCATGGATTGCCTAATAGCTGGAGAATTTTTATCTTACAATTTGATGCACATCTATCTAGGACTCAATCTATATACCCCACACTAGTAGAACATATGCAAAGAAAAAAATACTGAAAGAAGGGCATTCCTTTATTTATTTAGTTACAAAGTGATAGATATATTGTTGATCACAAATGGGATATTAGATGATGCATCGATAAATTTTTTAGGATAGTAGTTATCGTATTTGGATATGGCAATTTGTGAATTTGATATGGCATTAGGAATTTTAGAGTAGTGAATCATATAGATGCCGAATTTTATGTTTTTTTAAATAACTTATTCTACTAAAGTATTAATAGTTTTTAAAAAACTATCAATACTTGCACTCTATCCTTATTTATAGATTATGATGCATCTAATTTAGCTATCAATGAGCAAGATTTGTTATGCAGCTTCAAACTATGAACTTTCTTCGGTGTTGATAGTACTATTGCTAATAGAACTATAGTCTCTACTTTTGAAAAAAGAACTTCTATTATTAACAATAAATTATTTATGCAACATGTGGAATTAAATATATGGAGATGAAACATATTTGGTACGAAGAAATCAATACATATCTTTAGAGGTATAATTTGCTTTAAAAGAAATACAAGCTGGAGGACTAGGGAGAAATTAAAAAAGATACTTTGGTGTTGAGTGTTATCACTTGTCAAATTAGCATGTT